CAAGAAATTTTATTGTTTAATATTGTTCAGGTTCTATTGTTTAATAAACAGGTTTTTTCACTTTCTCCAAGGAGGTATTTTTCCCAAACCAGCTGGGGAAGGGGCCAATTGAATCTGCTTTTCTAGAGGAACCCCTTTGAGGGTTCTCTCCTAAATTTGGCCTGAACTGAACACCCAGAAGAACACCAGCAGCTCACATCTGTGGCCCACCGGGCCCAGTCTGGGCCACAGCATTTCCAGAGCCAGAAGGACTGACCACAGACTGATAAGGGTCTGATAAGAGATTGAGTGAGCCAAGCTACAGCCCACAGAAGGGATTTTCTGAGTTTGTCTCTCTTTTGGAGCAGCAAGAACTTTTATTGTTTAATATTGTTCAGGTTCTATTGTTTAATAAACAGGTTTTTTCCACTTTCTCCAAGGAGATATTTTATTTTCCCCGAACCAGTTGGGGAAGGGGCCAATTGAATCTGCTTTTCTAGAGGAACCCCTTTGAGGGTTCTCTCCCAAATTTGGTCTGAACTGAACACCCAGAAGAACACCAGCAGCTCACATCTGTGGCCACCTGGCTGGGCCTGGGTGGTGGCATTTCCAGCACCAGAGGGACTGATAAGAGACTGATAAGAGACTGATGAGTGAGCCAAGCTACAGCCCACAGAAGGGATTTTCTGAGTTTGTCTCTCTTTTGGAGCAGCAAGAACTTTTATTGTTTAATATTGTTCAGGTTCTATTGTTTAATAAACAGGTTTTTTCACTTTCTCCAATGAGGTATTTTTCCTGAACCAGCTGGGGAAGGGGCCGATTGAATCTGCTGTTCTAGAGGAACGCCTTTGAGGGTTCTCTCCTAAATTTGGCCTGAACTGAACACCCAGAAGAACACCAGCGGCTCACACCTGTGGCCACCTGGCTGGGCCTGGGCTGCGGCATTTCCAGAGCCAGAAGGACTGATCAGAGACTGATAAGAGACTTGTTTGTCTCTCTTTTGGAGTGGCAAGAACGCCGATTGAATCTGCTGTTCTAGAGGAACGCCTTTGAGGGTTCTCTCCCAAATTTGGTCTGAACTGAACACCCAGAAGAACACCAGCAGCTCACATCTGTAGCCCACCAGGCCAGGTCTGGGCCACAGCATTTCCAGTAGTGGAGGGACTGATAAGAGACTGATCAGAGACTGACTGAGCTGAGCTACAGCCCACAGAGGGATTTTCTGAATTTATCATCTCTTTTGGAGCAGCCAGAGGTTTTATTGTTTGATATTGTTCATTTTTTTGTGTCTGTCGGTGAATGCTTTGCCTGTTAAATAAAATTTTTTTTTCCAATTTTTTTCCAGGGAAATATTTTCCCAAATTGACTGGGGGAGGGGCTGCTTAGATCTGCTTTCTTGAGGAGCCCCTTTGGAGGTTCTCTCCCAGATTTGCCCTAAACCAGGACAGAGCCCATCCAAGGCACATCTCAGCAGCCTGTTTTTGGTCATGGGTGAAGGATCTCAACCCAAAGCACGAATCCCGAATGGATATGGAATTTCCTTGGCATCCTTGTGGGGTGTACAACAAAAACCCTGAACAGGATCGGGACGAGGGGATACAATTCCCACCCCCATCTCTCCCGGGACAACCAGAACGATGTCCCCCTTCGCTCCTGGAAGCCCTTGGAGCAGGGGGTGTCCAGCCAGTCCCCCTCCCACTCCATATCCCATGGGAACTCCTTACTGGTGTACAGGAGGCTGATGGGCGGGAAGGAGGGCAGGTTTTGGCCTCGGGGGGTTTTCTTCTCCTCGAAGCCACAGGGGAGGCCGCTGAGGAAGTCCTTGCGCTGCTTGTTGAGGCCCAGCCACAGGTAGATCTCCATCTTGGCCTGGACTGTCCAGCCGGCAGGGCCGAAGCCCCTCTTCCCGGGGAGCTGAGCACAGGGAATGGAAGAGTTCACATGGATATCGGGAATACGGGCAGACAGACCCCTCTTGGAGCGCCCAGCCTCTCTGGGGCATTGTGCTGCTGTTCCTTAAACCCAAGGATCCTTTGGGATCATGACACTGCTCTGGCTCAGGCATCTTCCTCTTCCCGCTGTGGTTTCCTTCTCCTAAGGTTGTCCTTTTCCTAAGTGCCTTAGGCTGGAAATGCAGGATGTGGCTTTGATGCAGTAAAGTAGAAAAATTATAAAAGGAAAGTCACACTGGGAGCACTGGAATTGCTTGGAGATTACCACGCCAAAAAAGCTGCTCAGAGCTAAGCCCATCAGGAAAGGAACTGGGATTTGTTGATGCAGTAAAATAGAAAAATTATAAAAGGAAGGTCACACTGGGGGCACTGGAATTGCTTGGAGATTCCCGCTCCAAAAAATTGCTCAAAGATAAGTCTGTCAGGAAAGAAACTGGGATTTACATAAGCCCATCAGGAAACTGGGATTTGTTGATGCAGTAAAACAGAAAAATTATAAAAAAAATCAGGCTGGCTTTAGATCTAGCCTTGTCAAGCTAGCACTTTGCAAGTTCCCGTGTGGAAACAATCCTGGTGTGAACAGTTCGTTAACATAACAATTATTCCTGGGTGAAAAACAACTGGCACCTGCATGAACATTAAATCTATCCCATGAGAATCACTGAAGAAAATATGTAAATAATTTAAAAATAATAATTTAAGAATAATAATTTAAATAAATGAAGATATTTGATGGACTAGTAAAATACCTTCTACCAACCAATAAAGTAATTGGCAAAAAAGTTCCTAACCAATTGGAGTCACACACGAGGTCTGTAAAACTGTATAAAAAACGTGAATAAAGAACTGGCTTTTCCAGTTTTTTTGGCATGAAGAAAATGGAATCTTGTGGTTGGGATTGAAGGTATTTGAGATGATAATTTGTTTAGATTTAGGTGTTTATTGCTTTTTGTTAATGTTATAATTTCACAGCAGTGAGTTCTGTAGTTTTTTATTAGTAAGGTGTAAAAGGCTTAACTATTTTTTGTTATAAGGTCTTTTAAGGTTAAACTATTTAATTAAGAAATTATACCTAAATTATTTTCTCTTTTAATCTAATAACTGATCACTCAAATTCTGTAATACAGACTTTTCCGTTTAATTAAAAAATACCACTTAAACTCATGAATAAGAAGGAAGAAAAAGGTAAAGAAGAACAATTTGTTTTCCACTTAAAACCTCAATTTTCTTTATATTTCTTATTATATTCTAAAACCCCAAACTCTACGTTTTCCACCTTGTGATATCACACACTTCTAACTAACTACACACCCGTAAACCAATGCTATAAATTCATTTTGGAAGCTTCTCCACAGCCTCGGGTTAAATGCAGTGCTCTTTTGTGGATCTGTGCCTTTCAGCACAGAAAGTTTAAAATTCTCAGTATCTAGGGTTTCAACAGACTTTTGTGTGATTTATGCCGATAATTTATGTTGGTTATAAGTTCAAAAATATATAAATTTGGGCATAGAAGACTGAAGGATTTTGTACTCTCCTCCTTCAGCGGACTTGGGGAGGGGAAGGCAGCGGGCATTCCTCATCCTTGTCTAGGGAAGATGTTCCCAGTCTGGACTGGGCCCCTCACTCCTCAGATCTGGGCTGGATCAGGACCAAGGAAGGCCTGGCTGAAACCAGGGATGGAGCTGGGAGCCTTCCATGGGAATTGGAAGCAGGAGGTGGAACAGCTGCAGCTCCAGGGAGGGACAAGAACCCCCTCTGAGCCGGTCCTAAACTGGAAAAATGTCATGGAATCATTCCGGAGCCTGAAGGGGCTCCAGGAGAGCTGCAGAGGGACTGGGGACAAGGGATGGAGGGACAGGACACAGGGAATGGCTCCCACTGCCAGAGGGCAGGGCTGGATGGGAGATTGGGAATGAGGAATTATTCCCTGGCAGGGTGGAGAGAGGCTGGGATGGAATTCCCAGAGCAGATGTGGCTGCCCCTGGATCCCTGGGAGTGTCCAAGGCCACACTGAACATTGGCCTTGGAGAACCCTGGGACAGTGGAAGGTGCTGGGATTGGAACTGGATGGGATTTCAAATCCCTTCCCACCTAAATCAGTCTGGAATCTGATGTGTCACCTTCCAATTCCTGATTTCCCAGGGATCCACAGGATTCCTCCATGGCTGGGACTGGCTGAAACATCTCCAGCTCTGCTGCAGGAGGACCCAGGTCTGTCCCTGCCTGGGAAACTTTAATTTCTTTCACATTGGCTCATTCCCACCCAGGAGTGCACAGGGATCATGGAGCAGCACATGGACTTGGAATGGCTCCTTGCAGAGGGACCTCTCCTGCCCTTGGAGGCCTCCATTCCATCCATCCATCCATCCATCCATCCCTCCATCCATCCATCATCCATCCATCATCCATCCATCCATCCATCCATCCATCCATCCATCATCCATCCATCATCCATCCATCCATCCATCATCCATCCATAATCCATCCATCCATCCCTCCATCCATCCCACCCATCCCATGCTTCTGTCTCCACGAGATGTCCCAGCCAGAGCCCCCTCTGCCCCTGAGGGACCCACCTCGTCCGCCAGGAACCGCAGCTTCTGCAGGAAGTTCTGCACCAGCTTCAGCTTGTCCTTCATGGTGTTCCTCTTGACCTGGGAGCGCAGGGCCGTGGCCTGCTGGGCCATGTTCTCCTGTGGGGACAGCCGGGACATCAGGACACAGCTCGGACCAAGGAAAGGCGCCTCAATCCCACCCGATCAGGATGGACACCTTCCGACATCCTTTTGTTGACTTTGGCGTGGCAGAGCGCCTGAGAGGGCAGAGACAGCCCAGGAGAAGGTGACACCACAAAGGTGTCACCTGAGCTTGGAGAATTTTGGGGTGGCTTGAGGAAGGTGCCTCTCGTGCTGTCATCCATCTCGTGACCCTTGGAGCTTCCATGTGAACGTGTGGAATTTAAAATTCCTGGATCTTGAGGATGCAGCTGGCTACTGGAGTTGGTGACCTTGGCCGTGCCAGCTGGAGAAGCCACCAGCTCCTCATCCAGCTCTCTGGCACATCCTTGGCAAGGAGCAGAGCCACCAATCCCAAGACTGTCCCAGGAGCAGTTCTGCTTTTTGGGGTTCCCAAAATCACCCCAAACCTCTGTCCCTGGAGCAGCTCTGTTCTGTGGGGTTCCCAAAATCACCCCAAACCTCTGTCCCTGGAGCAGCTCTGTTCTGAAAGGATTCCCAAAATCACCCCAAATCTCTGTTCCAGGGGCAGCTCTGTTCTGTGGGGTTCCCAAAATCACCCCAAACCTCTGTCCCTGGAGCAGCTCTGTTCTGAAAGGATTCCCAAAATCACCCCCAAATCTCTGTTCCTGAGGCAGCTCTGGTTTTTGGGGTACCCAAAATCATCCCAAAACCTCTGTTCCTGAGGCAGCTCTGTTTTTTGGGGTACCCAAAATCATCCCCAAACCTCTGTCCCCGGGGCAGCTCTGCTCTGAGGGGTACCCAAAATCACCCCAAATCTCTGTTCCTGAGGCAGCTCTGTTTTTTGGGGTACCCAAAATCACCCCAATCCTCCATGCCTGAGGCAGCTCTGTTTTTTGGGGTTCCCAAAATCACCCCAAACCTCTGTCCCTGGGTCAGCTCTGCTCTAAATTGTTCCCAAAATCAGCCCAAAACCTCTGTTCCTGGGGCAGCTCTTCTTTTCAGGGTTCCCAAAATCACCCCAAACTTCTGTCCCAGGGGCAGCTCTGCTTCTGGGTTCCCAAAATCACCCCAAACCTCTGTCCAAGGGTCAGCTCTGCTTTTGGGTTCCCAAAATCAGCCCAATCCTCCATCCCTGAGGCAGCTCTGTTCTGTGGGGTTCCCAAAATTCCCCTTTCCAGCTCTGTGCTCCCAAATTTCTTTCCAGAGTCTGTTGGAGGGGAGCCAGCAGAAGCAGGCGTGACACCTGGGACTTGGCTGAGACCCGAGTCACCTTTGGGGTCAGAATTAAACCCCAAATCCCTGACCCACAGGGACTGGAGACCAACGTGTCCATGGACAAAATTCCATCCCCTGCTCAGGAATCCTCCTCCGCTCTTCTCAAAGCTTCCCTGAACAACCCTGCTCACCCTCCCAGGGAACAATTCCTAATTCCCAATATCCCTCTGGCAGTGGGAGCCATTCCCTGGGTCCTGTCCCTCCATGCCTTGTCCCCAGTCCCTCTCCCGCTCTCCTGGAGCCCCTTTAGGGATCGGATCCCGCTCACCAGCTCCCGCATGCAGGATTTGAGCCTCTCCCGGTCCAGCCTGGTGCGGGACGAGTGGTGCTGGTCCTTGTCAGCCAAGGTCAGGAAGCGCCTGTGGGAAAAGGCGATTCGGTGATTCCCATGGGAATCCTTCCCAAGGTTCCCTTCCCACCCTGTCAGTCTGGCCACACCCCTGGAAAATGCTCGTATTCCTGCCAATCTCCAACAAAACTGTGGATGAAAGGCCAGTTCACACCGTGGACACGGAGCCAGGAAGGGACAGTCGGTGTCATCAGGTGCCACCAGGTGCCACCCAGAATTCACAGAATTCATGGAATTCACTGGGGCTGGAAGAGACCTCCAAGCTCATCGAGTCCAACCCAGCCCCAACAGCTCAACTCAACCCTGGCCCCCAGTGCCACATCCAGGCTTTGTTAAACACACCCAGGGATGGTGACTCCACCACCTCCCCGGGAATTCCCAAAATTCTCAGAATTTACAGAATTCACAGAATCACCAAGTTGGAAAACACTTCAAGATCATCGAGTCCAACACAACCCCAGCACCTCAACTAAACCCTGGCACCCAGTGCCACATCCAGTCTACTCCTAAACACATCCAGGGATGGTGGCTCCACCACCTCCCCGGGAATTCCCAAAATTCCCCAAATTTCCAGAACTCACACAATTACCAGGCTGGAAGAGACTTCCAAGACCATCGAGTCCAACCCAGTCCCAACAGCTCAACTCAACCCTGCCCCCAGTGCCACATCCAGGCTTTGTTAAACACACCCAGGGATGGTGACTGCACCACCTCCCCGGGCAGCCATTCCAGAACTTTATCACCTTTCTGGAAAAACTTTTTTCCTGATATCCAGCCTGAATTTCCCTTGGTGCAGCTGCAGGCTGTGTGCTCTGGTTCTGTCAGTTCCTGGAGAAAGAGCCCAGCCCCAGCTGAGCACAGGCACCTTTCAGGTCACCGGCCTGTGGAGGCCACAGGACTGAGGTGTCCCGCCCTGCTTTGGGGTGCAGATGGAAGCACCATGCTCCAGCCCGAGGCAAAAGCCCCAGCGTGGTGACAGTGTCATAGAATGCAGTCCCATCATCCCCAGGACAGGGTGATGATGGGACAAGGTGAGGTGACATTCCCACTGGGACCCGCGCGGTGCCACCTTCCCGTGTGTCACTCACAGGCAGCCGCTGCTCAGCTCCTCCAGGACCCCTCGGAGCCGGCGCTCCGGGTGCGGCTTCTCTGTCTTGATCATCTCCTGCACGTCGTTGAGGCCCTCCTCCTGCGGCACCAACGGGGACAGCGTGAGGGCTGGGAACGGGCTGGGATCAACTGGGATCAACTGGGATCAACTGGGTGGGCTGGGAACCGCCTGGGATCATCTGGGATTACCTGGGCTGGGATTGCCTGGGATCAACTGGCTGGGCAAGGAACCACCTGGGATCATCTGGGTGGGCTGGGAACCACCTGGGCTGGGAGTCACCTGGGCTGGGAATCACCTGGGATCACCTTGGGTCACCTGGGTAGGTTGGGCATCACCTGGGATCACCTGGGCTGGGAATCACCTGGGATCATCTGGGATCACCTGGGCTGGGCTGGGAATCACCTGGGATCACCTGGGCTGGGAACCACCTGAGATCACCTGGGATTACCTGGGCTGGGAATCACCCAGGGATCACCTGGGCTGGGCTAGGGACCACCTTGGATCACCAGGGATGACCTGGGTGGGCTGGGAACTACCTGGATCACCTCGGAATCACCCGGGATCACCTGGGAATCACCTGGGCTGGGCTAGGGACCATCTTGGATCACCTGGGATAACCTGGGTGGGCTGGGAATCACCCAGGATCACCTGGAAATCACCTGGGCTGGGAACCACCTGGGATCAGCTGGGAATCACCTGGGTGGGCTGGGAACCACCTGGGATCACCTGGACTGGGAACCACTTGGCCTCTCCACCCTCACAGGGAAGAATTCCGTCCCAGTGTCCTGCCCAAATCTCCCCTTTCCCAGTTTGTACCCATTCCCTATGTGCTGTCCCTCCATGCCTTGTCTCCAGTCCCTCCCCAGCTCCCCTGGAGCTCCCTTAGGCTCTGGAGGAGGCTCTGAGCTCTCCCTGGAGCTTTCCCTTCCCTGGCTCTGCCACAAGTGCTCACCCCTCCAGCCCAGGTGACACAGCCTCCCCACCCTGTCCCCTTTTGTGGGGACATCAGGATCTGACCCTCAGAATTATCAGGATCTGACCCTCAGAATTATCTGGATCTGACCCTCAGAATTCTCAAGGAGCTGCTAGAATTTGGTGATTCCTCACTGGGAATGCTCCCCTTTTCAGGCACTGTCCGTCCCTGCTTTTCAGGGAGCCCGGCTGTGGCTGTGCCTGGTGCCAGCCCCGTGTCCCAGCTGTGTCCCCCTGTCCCCCCACCCCTCCCTGCCCATCCCTGTCCACCCCTGACCAGCTTGTCCGCGATCTTGTCCATGATGTTGGCGTTGTAGAGCCGGCGCCGCTGGTCCTGCCACCAGCTCCGGATGTAGATGCAGGGCTTCTTCTCCAGGTAGGGCAGGTGGAAGTAATTCCTGCAAGAGGAGGCAGGAGAGGCGCTCCGTGAGGGTGGCAGTCCTGGCCTGGGGCAGCCCCCATCCCACCCCTCTCCCGGGAGGCAATGCCGTGGTGGGAAGGGTGATACGGGGACTCGGAGTGGGAGGGAGGCGGCCTCAGCTGCATCCTGGAGAGCAGAGGCTCCGTTTTTCCCGAGGCCATTCCCAAAACCAGGATGGATGGGTGCAGTGCCCAGGGGCTGCCCCATCCATCCTGGGAGTGTCCAAGGCTGGGTTGGACAGGGTTTGGAGTAATCTGGGATGTGCAGGTTCTGTCAGTTCCTGGAGAAAGAGCCCAGCCCCAGCTGAGCACAGGCACCTTTCAGGTCACCGGCCTGTGGAGGCCACAGGACTGAGGTGTCCCGCCCTGCTTTGGGGTGCAGATGGAAGCACCATGCTCCAGCCCGAGGCAAAAGCCCCAGCGTGGTGACAGTGTCATAGAATGCAGTCCCAGGACAGGGTGATGATGGGACAAGGTGAGGTGACATTCCCACTGGGACCCGCGCGGTGCCACCTTCCCGTGTGTCACTCACAGGCAGCCGCTGCTCAGCTCCTCCAGGACCCCTCGGAGCCGGCGCTCCGGGTGCGGCTTCTCTGTCTTGATCATCTCCTGCACGTCGTTGAGGCCCTCCTCCTGCGGCACCAACGGGGACAGCGTGAGGGCTGGGAACGGGCTGGGATCAACTGGGATCAACTGGGTGGGCTGGGAACCGCCTGGGATCATCTGGGATTACCTGGGCTGGGATTGCCTGGGATCAACTGGGCTGGGCAAGGAACCACCTGGGATCATCTGGGTGGGCTGGGAACCACCTGGGCTGGGAGTCACCTGGGATCACCTGGGTGGACTGGGAACTGCCTGGGATCACCTGAGATCACCTGGGTGGGCTGGGAACCACCTGGCCTGGGATCACCTGGGCTGGGAATCACCTGGGATCACCTTGGGTCACCTGGGTAGGTTGGGCATCACCTGGGATCACCTGGGATGGGCTGGGAACCACCTGGGATCACCTGGGCTGGGCTGGGAATCACCTGGGATCACCTGGGCTGGGAACCACCTGAGATCACCTGGGATTACCTGGGCTGGGAATCACCCAGGGATCACCTGGGCTGGGCTAGGGACCACCTTGGATCACCAGGGATGACCTGGGTGGGCTGGGAACTACCTGGATCACCTCGGAATCACCCGGGATCACCTGGGAATCACCTGGGCTGGGCTAGGGACCATCTTGGATCACCTGGGATAACCTGGGTGGGCTGGGAATCACCCAGGATCACCTGGAAATCACCTGGGCTGGGAACCACCTGGGATCAGCTGGGAATCACCTGGGTGGGCTGGGAACCGCTTGGCCTCCCCACCCTCACAGGGAAGAATTCCGTCCCAGTGTCCTGCCCAAATCTCCCCTTTCCCAGTTTGTACCCATTCCCTATGTGCTGTCCCTCCATGCCTTGTCTCCAGTCCCTCCCCAGCTCCCCTGGAGCTCCCTTAGGCTCTGGAGGAGGCTCTGAGCTCTCCCTGGAGCTTTCCCTTCCCTGGCTCTGCCACAAGTGCTCACCCCTCCAGCCCAGGTGACACAGCCTCCCCACCCTGTCCCCTTTTGTGGGGACATCAGGATCTGACCCTCAGAATTATCAGGATCTGACCCTCAGAATTATCTGGATCTGACCCTCAGAATTCTCAAGGAGCTGCTAGAATTTGGTGATTCCTCACTGGGAATGCTCCCCTTTTCAGGCACTGTCCGTCCCTGCTTTTCAGGGAGCCTGGCTGTGGCTGTGCCTGGTGCCAGCCCCGTGTCCCAGCTGTGTCCCCCTGTCCCCCCACCCCTCCCTGCCCATCCCTGTCCACCCCTGACCAGCTTGTCCGCGATCTTGTCCATGATGTTGGCGTTGTAGAGCCGGCGCCGCTGGTCCTGCCACCAGCTCCGGATGTAGATGCAGGGCTTCTTCTCCAGGTAGGGCAGGTGGAAGTAATTCCTGCAAGAGGAGGCAGGAGAGGCGCTCCGTGAGGGTGGCAGTCCTGGCCTGGGGCAGCCCCCATCCCACCCCTCTCCCGGGAGGCAATGCCGTGGTGGGAAGGGTGATACGGGGACTCGGAGTGGGAGGGAGGCGGCCTCAGCTGCATCCTGGAGAGCAGAGGCTCCGTTTTTCCCGAGGCCATTCCCAAAACCAGGATGGATGGGTGCAGTGCCCAGGGGCTGCCCCATCCATCCTGGGAGTGTCCAAGGCTGGGTTGGACGGGGTTTGGAGCAATCTGGGATGTGGCAGCAGCTCTCTGGCCACTGAGAGAAGCAGACAACTTTCCCAGGAATTGTTCTGAGGAAACATGAAGAAAGGCTGTGGGAAGATCAGAGAAAAGAATGAGAAACAATTCTTATCTTAACCTGTTGCACCTGGTGTTTGTGAACATGTGGAATACATCATGGAGATTTGTTTACCAAAAGGTGATTTATTAATTAGCCCATGGTGATGGTGTTTTAATTAAAGGACCAATCAGGTCCAGCTTCGGACTAGGAATCACCTGGGCATATTGTAACTGTCTATAAAAAAATGAGTTTCATAATAAAAATTAATGGAATGGAGGATCCGTTTTTCCCGAGGCCATTCCCAAAGCCAGGCCCAGGATGGATGGGTGCAGTGCCCAGGGGCTGCCCCATCCATCCTGGGAGTGTCCAAGGCTGGGTTGGACGGGGTTTGGAGCAATCTGGGATGTGGCAGCAGCTCTCTGGCCACTGAGAGAAGCAGACAACTTTCCCAGGAATTGTTCTGTGAGGAAACATGAAGAAAGGCTGGGGGAGAAAATAATGAGAAGCAAATAAAGAGAAAAGAATGAGAAACAATTCTTATCTTAACCTGCTGCATGTAGTGTTGTGAACATGAGGAATGTGTTATGGAGATTTGTTTCCCGAAGGGCGGTTTCTTAATTAGCCAGTGGTGATAGTGTTTTAATTAAAGGACCAATCAAGACCAGCTGTATTGTAACTGTCTATAAAAGCAATGAGTTTCTTAATAAAGATTAATCTGTAATCGTGGAGTCTATGCTAATTATTACCCAGCCGGGTAATAATGTACAGTGGGGTGTGTCGGGTTCAGAACTGGAGGATCTTTAAGATCCCTTTCCACCTTAAAAATTCTGGGATTCTGGAACTTCCCAGCAGCTCCAAGCCCTGCCCAAGCTGTCCTTGGAACAGCCGAAGGAAGGGTGATCCACGCTTTTGGAGTGCTGCTGTGAGCTAGGATCCAGCGCCTGGAAAGGGAATCCTGCTGCACCTGGAAAGGGAATCCTGCTGAGCCTGGAAAGGGAATCCTGCTGAGCCTGGAAAGGGGAATCCTGCTGCTCCTAGAATCACCAGGATTCAAATCGAGCTCCAGCCCTTCCCAGGTATTCCCACCAGGAGATGTCAGCAGAACCACGTGGCTGAGTTTCCCAGCTGCCAGAGGATGGAGATTTTTGGATAAACAGGGTGGGAAAGGACCAAAACATTGGAATTTCTCATCTCCCCTTGGGATTCAATTGGAGAAAGAGGTGAGGGACAGAGGAGGGAATTCCAGGGGGATCTATCTGTGCTGGATATTGATTAAAGCAAGGGAGGGAATTCCAGCGAGATTTTTCTGTGCTGGATATTGATGGAAACAGGGAGGGAATTCCGGGGAGGCACCTATCTTCACCGGATATAATTT